GATTGATAAGTTTCTGATAAGTTTTGATTCAATCATATATGCATACTTGCCATACCTGATCATTCTTTGATCTAACGTTTTCGGTCATACTCAATATGACATCATACTTATCTACAAGAAAGACTGCTTCCTAAAGATATATATATATATATATATATATATATATATATATATATATATATATATATATATATATATATATATATATATATATATATATATATATATATATAGTATATTAGTATATTTTGGTAGCAGTCTTTCCTGTAGACATATTTTATTAAATATGACCGAAAAAGTAAGATTAATAATTCTAACACGAATTTTCTCAATCTTTCGTACATTATGCTTCACTGTTGGAGGTAAATCAAAAATCACTTCTCCAAAATTCATTTTTATTTCTAGTCTGACGCGACACGGGCGCGTTTCGTAAAACTTATTACATTTTCAAAGACTTCACAAATACACAACTGATTAGAACTTGCGTTTCCCTGATTTTATATCTACATTTGAGTGAGGTGGGAAGGGTGATGTGGCATTACATTTGAGTGAGGTGGGAAGGATGATGTGGCATTAGAGGATATTAATAGGGTATTAAAAGTATCAACACAAGACAGAACACGAAACAATGGATATTGAATAGAAGTGTTTGTAGAAAGCCTATTGGTCCATATTTCTTGATGCTTCTATATTGGAGCGGAGTCTTGAGGTGGGTAGAATATAGTTGTGCAATAATTGGCTGTTGATTGCTGGTGTTGACTTCTTGATGTGTAGTGCCTCGCAAACGTCGGCTTGACGTTTGCGAGGCACTACACATCAAGAAGTCAACACCAGCAATCAACAGCCAATTATTGCACAACTATATTCTACCCACCTCAAGACTCCGCTCCAATATAGAAGCATCAAGAAATATGGACCAATAGGCTTTCTACAAACACTTCTATTCAATATCCATTGTTTCGTGTTCTGTCTTGTGTTGATACTTTTAATACCCTATTAATATCCTCTAATGCCACATCATCCTTCCCACCTCACTCAAATGTAATGCCACATCACCCTTCCCACCTCACTCAAATGTAGATATAAAATCAGGGAAACGCAAGTTCTAATCAGTTGTGTATTTGTGAAGTCTTTGAAAATGTAATAAGTTTTACGAAACGCGCCCGTGTCGCGTCAGACTAGAAATAAAAATGAATTTTGGAGAAGTGATTTTTGATTTACCTCCAACAGTGAAGCATAATGTACGAAAGATTGAGAAAATTCGTGTTAGAATTATTAATCTTACTTTTTCGGTCATATTTAATAAAATATATATATATATATATATATATATATGCGAACAAGCCTGAATGGTCCCCAGGACAATATGCAACTGAAAACTCACACCCCAGAAGTGACTCGAACCCATACTCCCAGAAGCAACGCAACTGGTATGTACAAGACGCCTTAATCCACTTGACCATCACGACAGGACAAAATGAGGTGATAGCCGAGGCTATTTGAACCACCCCACCGCCGGCACTCGGATAGTAATCTTGGGCATAGCATTTTACCAAATCACCTCATTCTTTGGGGCACACGTGAGGAACACAAATGCGAACAAGCCTGAATGGTCCCCAGGACAATATGCAACTGAAAACTCACACCCCAGAAGTGACTCGAACCCATACTCCCAGAAGCAACGCAACTGGTATGTACAAGACGCCTTAATCGTGATGGTCAAGTGGATTAAGGCGTCTTGTACATACCAGTTGCGTTGCTTCTGGGAGTATGGGTTCGAGTCACTTCTGGGGTGTGAGTTTTCAGTTATATATATATATATATATATATATATATATATATATATATATATATATATATATATATATATATATATATATATATATATATATATATATATATATGTCGTACCTAGTAGCCAGAACTCACTTCTCAGCCTACTATTCAAGGCCCGATTTGCCTAATAAGCCAAGTTTTCCTGAATTAATATATTTATTATAATTTTTTCTTATGAAATGATAAAGCAACCCTTTTCTCTATGTATGAGGTCAATTTTTTTTTATTGGAGTTAAAATTAACGTAGATATATGACCGAACCTAACCAACCCTACCTAACCTAACCTAACCTATATTTATAGGTAAGGTTAGGTTAGGTAGCCAAAAAAGCTAGGTTAGGTTAGGTTAGGTAGGTTAGGTAGACGAAAAAACATTAATTCATGAAAACTTGGCTTATTAGGCAAATCGGGCCTTGAATAGTAGGCTGAGAAGTGCGTTCTGGCTATTAGGTACGACATATATATATATATATATATATATATATATATATATATATATATATATATATATATATATATATATATATATATATATATATATATATATATATATATATATAGGGGTACCACCACTGGTTTAATTAAAGGGACCCACATCCTCGAAGAAGAAAATAAATAGTGTTCAGAGAAGACCTTGTGGATTCTCACTGAATACTTTAATCTTTTCCTCTCCTACCACCCCTATTATTATTATTTTTTTTTTTTTATTTGATTTTATTGCAATGTTACAGTTTACAGAAAACACACACTTATATAACAATATAACAATATACCAATCAGTGTTCGAAGACCTCGTCCATATATATATATATGTATATATATATATATATATATATATATATATATATATATATATATATATATATATATATATATATAATGTAGGAGCGAGTGATAAGAAGCAATCAAGAGATGGGAGGTGAATGGCTTCCCAGCCAGAGCTAACTCCTCGACGTCTTAATAAAACAAAATCAGAAGATGGCTGACGCCAAGTGGATCCTTAAAGGTGATCGGTGGCTGCCGTGTTGACATGGCGACCACTGCCACCATGTAGTCACGTCCCTCCCCAACCACCTCCCACCTGTCACTACTTGCTCATCAGTGACTACGGCAGAGTGAGCCTCAGCTCTCTGCCCCGCCTGCTTGCCTTGCTGTACTTGTTGCTTCATAATTTAACTATTCTTACCTTCGAAGGTAAGTCTGGACTGAAAGTTGTAAGTGGAGGTGGCTTCCACATTATCAGCTTTCAATGCATTTCACTTGTTAACTACCCGTACTGGGTAAAGATATTTCTTGACATTTATTCCACATGTGATTCCAGCTTCTACTTCTCGTCTTACTTTCTCTCACGTTAATGAGGCTGTTCTTCACCAGCTTGTCAATTCCCCTCAGTATCTTATACGTTGCGATCATGTCCCATTCCGTTTCTTCTCTCCTCCAGGGTTGTGAGGTCTAATTCCCTTATCCTGTCCTCATAGCTCAGTCCTCTTAACTCTGGCACTGATCTTGTTGCAAGCTTTATTTAATTTAAAATTTTGGTTTCATGCTTCACAAACTACAGAGTTCCGGGCTGGTGCTGCATATTCTAATATTGATCTATCAAAATTTGTGGCGTGGATTACCTTGAAGAGCCCTTGGTTAGATTTCTGAAAGACCTTCTAATGTTTGCACGCGTCCCATATACTGCCGATAATTGCTCTGTTTGTGTGTGACTCTGGAAACAGTGTTGAAATTATATTCATTCCTAAATACTTTTCTCTCTTTCCGTATCCTGTAGGTGACTTTTCCTTATGGTGTAAGTACAACCTGGCCTCCTTTCTTCCTTTCCAAGCTTCATTATCTTACACTCTCTGGGAATGACTACTAGCAACCATTTTTTCACCCATCCTAAGGTCTTCCTGTAACTTTCAGCAGATGCGTGTCATTACACTGGGTCAGAAAATACGGCCGGAGAAAAGCTTTCCACTCACATAGGGTCGGAAAACGCGGCCGGATAGAAGCGTGTGCTGCTACATATAGTTAGAAAACGCGTTGCCCTCGCCGAATGTTCATCGACAAAAATAGCGGCCCAGAAGCGTGCCGTCTGAAAAATAAAAACGGCACGCTTCTGGCCCTGTTTACACTACTCAAGCAGTGCCGTGGCACGCAGCTCTCTCTTCAGTTGAGGCGACCCCCGACCAGACTATGTTGGGTACGTACCCTACATGAATCAGGGTGCAAAGTTGGGCGAGGCTATAGCCCCCAAATGTCAGCCTTCCATCCTCGAACAGACAGATAGAGAAACATTCTAATTTATATGTATACAAATAAATGCATTTGAAAATGTATTACAATTTGCGAAAGCATTTAAATGTCATAACTAACACCTAATCAATCAGCTTCATCGCCAGAATCTCTAATACGCTTCAATATTCTGCTCGTTTACATTCGCCGCTGACTCAACATTCCCGTCCTGAAACTCCCTGTTAATTTACACTTATTGCAAACCATACTTATTGCATAATGGTTCATAATCAACGAATAGGCAAATAATCAAATATCCTTATTATCAAATATACAGATAATATTATTTACTTATAATTGAAAATACATATATACCCAATACACAAATATTAATATTATATATATATATATATATATATATATATATATATATATATATATATATATATATATATATATATATATATATATACATATATAAACCACTACACCTTCCACACTCACCTTGCAGGTGTGGAGGTGAAGGTGGCAGGCGTCTCCCAAGGCTCTTGAATTACATTGTGTATACATCTGCACATTTGTGTTTCTACACTTTAAGAAACACAAGACAGAGAAGGGGGGAGGAGGTTGTATTTACAGGGGCGGTCATGGGGGGAGGTGGAAGCCTCGGGGGTGTACATGAGAAGGTGTACTTACTGAGGACGGTCATGGGGGATGTGGAAGCCTCAGGGGTGTACATGAGAGAGGTGTACTTACTGAGGACGGTCATGGGGGAGGTGGAAGCTTCAGAGGATGTACATGAGAGAGAGGGTGTACTTACTGAGGACGGTCATGGGGGAGGTGGAAGGGTCGGTGGTGTACATGAGAGGGTGTACTTACTGAGGACGGTCATGGGGGAGATGGAAGCCTCAGGGGTGTACATGAGAGAGAAGGTGTACTTACTGAGGACGGTCATGGGGGAGGTGGAAGCCTCGGTGCGGAAGCTTGGGTGTTCAGCGATGACTTCACAGCGGTACTGGCCGGATGCGGACACCGCCAGCCGGGTCAGCGAGAGGGTCACCCGCTGGTCGTTACGGAACACTTCCTGTCGGGACAAGCCAGTTCTCAACACCTGCCTCTCACACCCACACACAACAGTATATAAATATATATGTATATACCCAAGTATCGATATAGGACAAATTAAACGAAATTAATCCGAGATCTTCCGTGATTCAACACATTTTCAAGGAAGAAGAAGAAAGTTTACTGTCCATATGGTTATCTTAATTAGTTATTTTGAGAACTTTAGTGTACATTTGCCCCACGAGTCAAGAATTTCTGAGTCAATCGCAGAAAATTGTTAACAATGTGCCACCTCTCTAGATTTAGTGGTTTCCTGTGTCTCTGAAAGAAACAGTGCTACGACACCCCTTTACTTGTACTGTATTCCAGGAAGGGTACTAGCCAAATGGAGGCACAAGTGTAGTCCCCACACCACCAGCTTGTCATACGTCCAAGGAAGCATTGTAATCTGAGCTGGACTCTTCTGAGTATTGTTGGTTCTGTATTGGTGTGGTTCTCTTTGTGCTGAGGAATGGCCCGTGGCGAGTCTCCTCTTGATGACGTAGTTGACTTCTTTGTGTCATGCAAGCATTGGCTGACCAAGCAAGCTTGGTCAGCCAATGCAACTGTCTTTGGTGAAGATAGGGATGGCAAGGTGAAGGGTTACACCGGTACGAAGAACATGGTAGTTGAAATTGAAATAAGGTTATTAGGGTATAAATATACAGAAAGGGATGAGGTACCTCAAGCTATTCTCAACCAGTTCAGTACAATGTGTTCCTATATATATATATATATATATATATATATATATATATATATATATATATATATATATATATATATATATATATATATATGACAATGTCAGACCACGGAGGAAAAATGAAACAGGAAATTTCCTTAAGTACTTTCGTATATTAAATACATCTTCAGAAGGTGTATTTAATATACGAAAGTACTTAAGGAAATTTCCTGTTTCATTTTTCCTCCGTGGTCTGACATTGTCACATTCTTAATCACGTGTTTATTTTCGTGATATACACACACACACATATATATATATATATATATATATATATATATATATATATATATATATATATATATATATATATATATATATATATATATCGATGTAGGACAAATTAAACGAAATTTATCCTGACCCCTTCCCCAGTGCTATATAGTCGTAATGGCTTGGCGCTTTCTTTTCCTAATTCCCTTTCCTTCCCTGACATATACTGACGGTTTGAGTGCACTCAATATCTCTTTGACCTAAAATGTTACACATAGGAGAGACAGAGAAAATAAGAGAGAAAGTGAGGGAGGGAGAGAAGTAGGGAGGGAAGCAAGGGAGAAGGAATCTGAATATCAATCGGGTTCGTCGTGCTGCCAGAACAAGGAAGAATGAGACCATCACTTATCAAGCTGGTCTTGGCGGCGAGAGCCCAGACTGGGGGCCGTGGGGGGTGTCGTGGGCCCCAGTACACCTTGTGAGCTCCCGGTACACCTTGTGAGCTCCCAGTACAACATGTGTGTACACAACTAATAGTGCTTATGGGAGTTGAGCATCGGCTGCAGGCGATGAGTCACAATAACGTGGCTGAAGTATGTTGACCTGACCACACACTAGAAGGTGAAGGGACGACGACGTTTCGGTCCGTCCTGGACCATTCTCAAGTCGATTGTGCTTCGGCTCGTGCAAAGAGCTTCGACTCTTTGGTCCCGTCTCTCAACTGGCGTACAGATTCCTGAGCCTTTTTGGGCTCTATCATACCTATATTTGAAACTGTGTATGGAATCTGCCTCCACCACAACACTGTGCATTCCATCTGTTAACTACTCTGACACTGAAAAGGTTATTTTTAATGTCTCTGGAGCTCAAATGGGTACTCAGTCTCCACCTGTACCCCCTGTGTCAAATAATATGTTTTTATCTAACCTATCAATTCTTCTCAGAATCTAGTATGGGGTCAGTATGTCTTCCCTAACTCTTCTGTCTTCCAGCGATGTGAGGTTTAGTTCTTTTAGTCTGTCCTCGTAGCTCATACCTCTCAGCTTGGGTATTAGTCTGGTGGCATAATTTAAACGTTCTCCAATTTAGTCTTATGCTTGACTAAGTACAGACATCACGCCGGTGCTGCATACTCCAGGATTGGTCTGATATATTTGGTATACAAGGTGTTAAATGATTACTTACACAAGTTTCTAAAGGCAGTTCCTATGGTGGCCAACCTAGCATATGCCGCTGATGATATCCTCTTGATGTGGGCTACAGGGGTCAAGTCCGGTGTGATATCAACCCCGAGGTCTTTCTCACTTATTCTTAAAGGATTTCACCTCCCAAATGATACCTTGTATCCGGTTTCCTACTCCCTACACCTATCTTCGTTACTTTACATTAGCTCGAGTAATATCATATAAAGTATGCCATTAGTTTCTTCAAGTGATAACATAGCTAATTATACACAAATTTGGCAACTCTGAATTAAGCTCAGAACATTTGTCTAAATAAATCCTCTAGGTGGAAATCATTCAGGAATATGTAAATTCAACTGTATTTTTCATGACAAAACTTCGATTTTAATACAGAATGGAATTCAAGAGTTTGGCAACCGGTTCGGCCGCGTTCCACTACCCCCAGATCACTGTGAACCGGTTCGGCCGGGTCCCACTACCACAGGCGATCAATCTACCGGTTCTCAGCCAATTCCTGACAGAGCCATGGCCGTGCGGACCTAATTGACTCCACATTGGATCAAAGCTCACACGAATTAAAGTTCGAAGAGCGTAGATTTTTGTAAGGTTAAATTGACGTTTGAAATGCATAAAAGTCTTCATATCAGCCGAGTTGGCAATCTTTCTCGCGGGTGCTTCCTTTGAGAAGTCTTCAAGCTTCAGAGCCGAAGTCACAATCCCTGAAGCTGCTCTTCAAGTGGGCGCCCCTCATCTAGATCATCCATATTGACCTTTCCCCGAGCAATCTCTCAAGATGTGACCCCGTCCTTGCTACGTAGGAGCATTCATAGCCCGATACTCGAGGCGGCATCCTAACCAAACAATGTGCCTTCTCAGACTGTGAAACTTTTTCCCAACAGTCAAAAGGGACTCTATAGTCTGGTATTTCTCGAAGCAGTGAGTCCATCCGCTTCGGTGCAATGATCCTTCCAGCTATACCTCTCGTGCTTACTAGTCCGGCTCGGCGCCCGCGGGATGGGTCCCTCTGTACATTGTTTTCGGTGATGGTTGATACCTTTATTTCATAAGAAACAGAGGATAAGCATCAGAGGAGTCAAATCAGCGTGTGAAACGGCTGCATGTATTTTACACTTGCTTCTATTCCACAGGACATAGCCTCAGGGCTAGCTCTCTCTCATATATATATATATATATATATATATATATATATATATATATATATATATATATATATATATATATATATATATATATATATATATATACTCATGAGAAACCTACTCAGCCTACTCATGAGAAACTCTCCAGACACAAAACAGAACGCTTTAAAAGAGACTAACGTCGTCTATGCCTTCAAATGCCCACTTGGGGACTGTAAGCTCCAAAAAACCCAGTATATAGGCAAGACAACAACATCTCTTTCTAGGCGTTTAACGATGCATAAACAACAGGGCTCCATTAAGGAACATGTAATCTCTTCCCATAACCAAACCATCGCCAGAGAAATCCTAGTAAACAACACAGAAATCATCGATAGATACAGCGATAGCAGGCGGCTTGACGTTTGCGAGGCACTACACATCAAGAAGTCAACACCAGCAATCAACAGCCAATTATTGCACAACTATATTCTACCCACCTCAAGACTCCGCTCCAATATAGAAGCATCAAGAAATATGGACCAATAGGCTTTCTACAAACACTTCTATTCAATACCCATTGTTTCTGTTCTGTCTTGTGTTGATACTTTTAATACCCTATTAATATCCCCTAGTGTTCTGTCTTGTGTTAATGCCACATCACCCTTCCCACCTCACTCAAATGTAATGCCACATCACCCTTCCCACCTCACTCAAATGTAGATATAAAATCAGGGAAACGCAAGTTCTAATCAGTTGTGTATTTGTGAAGTCTTTGAAAATGTAATAAGTTTTACGAAACGCGCCCGTGTCGCGTCAGACTAGAAATAAAAATGAATTTTGGAGAAGTGATTTTTGATTTACCTCCAACAGTGAAGCGTAATGTACGAAAGATTCAGAAAATTCGTGTTAGAATTATTAATCTTACTTTTTCGGTCATATTTAATAATATATGTCTACAGGAAAGACTGCTACCAAATATACTAATATATATATATATATATATATATATATATATATATATATATATATATATATATAACTGACATATATATATATAACTTATATATATATATATATATATATATATATATATATATATATATATATAGTTATATATATATAACTGATATATATATATATATATATATATATATATATATATATATATATATATAATATATATTATATATAATATATATATATATATATATATATATATATATATATATATATATATATATATATATATATATATATATATATATATATATATATATATATAAAATGTCCGGTCGTGATGGTCAAGCGGATTAAGGCGTCCCTGTACATACCAGTTGTGGGAGTATGGGTTCGAGTCACTTCTGGGGTGTGAGTTTTCAGTTGTATATAGTCCTGGGGACCATTCAGGCTTGTTTGCATATATATATATATATATATATATATATATATATATATATATATATATATATATATATATATATATATATATATATGGTAGCAGTCTTTCTTGTAAACAATCGTTGTTGAATATGACCGAAAGAGTAAGATTAATGATTCTAACACGAATCTTCTCAATATTTCTTACGTTTTTCTTCACAGTGAAACTATCATATTCTGTGTGAATGTCATGTAATCTTATAAAGACAGTGACACTCGTTCTTAAATATAGTTATTAGTAATATTGTAGGACAGAGATACAGAAGCAGGGGGTGAGGGCTGGGATGGGGGAATGGAGATAGGGAAAAGGGGTGGAGATGGGGAGAGGGAGGGAAAAAGGGGTGGAGATGGGGAGAGAAGGGGGGGGGGACGACGAGGGGAGGGTACCCGGACTCCGCCGGGTACCTTTCCTAATGCATTATAAATGTGTGTGGCTATCCGTTTAAAACTGGTAACCACAATTAACGAGGATAATAACATTTCATTCACTTGGACCATCGCAGCCTCGAACCCAGGACAAGAAAAGCAGAAGACTGTAGCTATTTTCCAACCAGGCTTCGAGCAGCCTCTATAAAGGAGGATCTCAGACACACACACATATGTGTCTACATGTATATGTGTGTCTGAGACTGTATACGGGTCCGGGGAGAATAATTCTTTCACCAGAGTGCAGACGGATTATGTGTAAAACTTGGACTAGATACCAGCTCGGTACCTTAGTACCGAGCTGGTATCTAAACTACAGGTTGATCTGGACGGCTCCCAGGTTGAGTAATCTTTAGCACATTGTGCTCCCATAAGTT